AACCCTACCTATCTCATGTCCTTTCTTCTAATCTACACCTGACTCAACCTTTCTGCTCCCTCGTGACCTCTGCATCCCTCCTCTTCTTCCCTTCTCACTCTCGTAGCTCCCGCCCCCCCTGCTCTCAATTTGCTCAGGGGGTGGTGACCCTTTCCCCTTCTCCAGGGGACAAAGCTTGTCTCTTTTAGGGTCTTCCCTGTTTACTAGTTTCTCTGGCAGTGCGGATTATAGGATGGTAATCCCTTACTCTATGTCTAAAATCCACATATGCGTGAGTACGTACCATGTTTGTCTTTTTGTGATTGGGTTACCTCGCTCAGAATGGTTTCTTCGAGCTCCATCCATTTGCCTGCAAAGGCAACGGAGACTTTCAACCCTTAAGGTCATGCATAGAAAGAGAAAAGGTGGGCAGACATGTGGCCTTAGGGGTTGATTTGGGGCTTTAGTCTGTTGTTTTATCTACCTGCACACATTCAAGCATAGGAACTTCTGCCCATCTTCCTTCCTCGATTTCCCCTCAGGGCTTTCCTGCTCTGACCTCCTCTCCCCTTTGTAAGGTTTTAGTTCGGTGGCCCCATCTAGAAGCCCCCCACCCCCGGATCCCCAGCTTGCTCAGGTAGCTCCTTTTGAGCCAACCCATCCTGCCTGCCCTTGACATTCCCAGAGGACCAGGCCAGGACTGTTGTGGTGGCATCTCTGTCATTCTTTGAAAGTGAGACAGAGAGGAGAGAGGGTTGCTGCCTCTTCCTGGTCTTTGCTCAACCAGTTTGTTTAGGCAGCTAGCCTATTTCCCGTTCCTAAGACATATCTTGGGCCCTGTCTGTGGCTCAGTCCCATCTCCAGGAAGCCCTCCATGGTTGCCTTGGTTGACTCACGGTAGTCCTGCCTGCCCATCCCATTGCAGCCTGACTACTTTACCCTGAGTCTCACCCATCCTGGCCTTGATTGCCCCAGGTCATTCCTGGCAAACAAAGCTGTCTTCTGGGCTGTCTCACTGCCACTGTGCCCTTGGCATGCAGAAAGGTCTTGGGTATTGAGTGGCATTTAACACTTGAAACAATTTTGTGAGAAAGTGATATCCTGAAGATGACAGACAGCTGTGAACAAGGCCATCAGAACTCTTGGGCTGTTGTCTTTCTTCATCCTTTGGGTCACATCTAGGGTGTCCCCTCAGAAGAGACTCTTGCTGGTCCCCAGGCTGAGTCAAATGCCTTGTGAAGGGGTCAGCTTCGTGTGACCAGTGCAGCCAATGGGTCTCTGTTCAGAAGAGTGCTTCCTCTGGGAGAGCAGACGGTACTCTTAACCTGAGCCATGCCTCCAGCCCGCTAGGCTCAGTTCTTAATTAAGTTTTAGATCTGTGTTTTGCAAGTGAATTGTGGGGAACACTGGAGTTTAATGGACAAGCTTGCACTCTGATGCCTCTGACAGTGTGTCCCAAGGGGAGTGGATCTGAGTTTCATGCCTGGTCTCAGAGGACTCCCCAGGCATGTCTGAGGCTTGCATCATGGCTGCTCTGATGAGACCTCTATTTACATGGGAATCCCAGGCAAATGAGAAGAATCCCACAGTTCACCAGTGTATGAGGAGCTGGGGTGGAGAGGCTCGACGCTGGAACCTGGCCTAGCAGACATGAGGCTCTGGGCATGGTCTCCAGCCCACAGCAAAAATACAAAGGTTGCAAGAAAACAAATGCATAAGTAACAGGCAAATCAGTAAATAAACATGCAAATTAGCCAAGCAAGCACACAAACAAACAACTGCTCTCTGGGCCTGGGCCAGGCTCAGGTCAGCAGCCCAAATCCAGGCAGGCCTGAGCAAGAGCACACTCCCCACCCTGGGTCCAACTCCCTTCCAAGATGCTAGCCAGCTCTTCTGGTCTGACCAGTTGGGGTTCCTCCCCTGAAACTCTCCCACGCTCCTGGGGCCTCCCAAGCCTAAAACACAGCAGTATCACTTTGTCTGCCGAACACTGGGACTTGTAGCTCTGCTGAGGTTTTCAGACCTATTCTACAAAGGGAGTGGAGGAAATTCAGAGAGGGAGAGTGAGTTACCTGGAATCACACAGCAAGCTCAAGATTTCAGGCTGTACGGTTCCAGACTTGGTTCTTTCCTCATCATTTCCTTTAGGATAAGAAGGACACCTTGGGCTACAAGGCTGGGTGGCCCACAACTTTAATTCCAGCACTTGGGAGGCAGAGGCAGGTCGATCTCTGAGTCTGAGGCCAGCGTGGTTTACAGAGTGAGTTCCAGGCCAGTGGGGCTATATGGTTGAAGACCCTGTTTAAAAAAACAAAGCAAAACAAAACAAGAAAGCAACAACAAACCAAGAAAAAAAAATACCTTGGAGCCTCAGAGAGGGAAACACACTAATTCAGGGGCACACAGCAAAAAGATGTGTGACGGGGATCCAGCTGGAGCCAGCTTTGGATGACATCACAAGGGTCATTCACTTTCTCTCTTGAGTCTTCCCTGGATGACGGATGACCCCACCTAGGTGACTGAGGTGCTTGTCATTGTTGGGAACAGGGGTGCTGGGCAGGGTCTGGGGAGCAGATATCTCTCTGAACACAGCCGCTATTTTCCTGCTGCCAGTCAGCAATCCGGCCAGCTGGGGCTGACTGCTACGCCACTGGCCTGCAGACCTGAGGGAGTAGCTTCTGCTTTGGTCTCAGAGTCCTCCTTTGAGGTACAGGTACCACGCTCCGCCCCTCCCAACAGGTTGCTTATAAAAGGGCCGGTATGTTTTCTCGCTTTTTACACGTGCATTCTATTTATTTTGTTGTTCGTATATCCGGACACGTGCATTCTATTTATTTTGTTGTTCGTATATCCGGACACGTTACACATTGGGAGGTCAGAGGACAGTCTAAGAGGAGTTGGTTCTCTCCTACGGTGTGGGACCTGGGGGCCAAACTCAGGTTGTCAGCCTTGGTGGCAAGCGCCTCTACTCTATCTCGATGGCCCATCATTTTGTAGCCCAGACTGGCCTTGAACATGCAACCCTCTTGCTCCAGCCTTCTGAGTTTTGGACCTGTGACCATAGTGACACACACCACGTCTTGTCCAGCACACAGCTGGAGCTGAAGACCTGGGGACTGACAGTAACCAATAAGAATATTAACCAATAATAATAGCACAATCTACCTAAGTTATTAAAAGCTAAGGCTTTTGTAGCGTCGAAAGCTGCCTGAAGCTTTTCACAAACACCTGACATCGCTCCCACAGCAGCCTCTTAGGTAAGTATATGTTAAGATCTCCATTAAATAGGTGGAGGGCAGCGAGGCAGTGGTGGCACGTGACTTTAATCCCAGCATTCAGGAGGCAGAGGCAGGTGGATCTCTGGATCTCTGAGTTTGAGGCCAGCCTGGTCAAAAGAGTGAGTTCCAGGACAGCCAGGATGACACAGAGAAACCCTGTCTAGAAAAACCAAACCTACCAACCAACCAAACAAACAAACCAGATGGAGGACACAGAGGCACAGAGGCCAGGCAATTCCCTGCCACACCTGTAACCTCAGTGGCAGAGCCAGGAAGATGGCTGGGGCTTGTGGGCTGCCAGCCTTCCTCTAGATTCAGGGAGAGACCCCATCTCAAAGGGATAAAGGGGAGAGTAATGGAGCCAGACAGTGGGCATCTCCTCTGACATCCACAAGTACGGGTGTGTTCACACGCAGACCTTCTGTGTGCATACGCACGCATGTGCTCGCACACACAAACACATACACAACAAATAAAGGGCTGGGGATGTAACTTCATGGGACAGCATTTGCCAAGTGTGTGTGAGGCCTGGGGTCCTATACCCAGCATCGTCAACAAACAAAACAAAACAATCCCCACACCATGAAACAAATAAAAGCAAGCAATCAAACAACCAAATAAACCAAAAAGCAAACGAACAACCGGAAGAGCCTCCATCGGTGACAAGTGACATTCGAAGACAGCTCTGAGTTCGAGTCCCGCTTCTGGCACTCCCAAGCCTCTCCCTTCCCCGGTTTCCTCTCCTGTGAAATGCAGAGCTGTTGTGGGCTGAGGGGTTCTTCAGGAGTGTGGAGCACCAAGTTTGTTGTCCCGTGATGGCAGGAGCTCTTCTCACCTCACGGGAGAGAGCCGATGAGAACAGACCTGTACTGTTTGGAAAAGATTCTGGAACAAAGCAAGGGCTTGATTCTTGGGTATTATTCTTATTGCTGTTGTGATTGATATTAATGTTAGAGAATGGAATTTAGAACAAGAAAGACCAGAAAATGGACTCAGAAATCTCCTGCTTCCCCCACTCCCTTTTCTTTTATATGCTGGAGATTGAACCCTGGGACTCATGCATACTAGGCAAGAGCTCTACCACCGAGCCACGCCCCCAGCCCCTCACTGGGGGATTCTAGGCAGGGGCTCTACCCCCGAGCCACACCCCCAGCCCCTCACTGGGGGATTCTAGGCAGGGGCTCTACCCCCGAGCCACACCCCCAGCCCCTCACTGGGGGATTCTAGGCAGGGGCTCTACCCCCGAGCCACACCCCCAGCCCCTCACTGGGGGATTCTAGGCAGGGGCTCTACCCCCGAGCCACACCCCCAGCCCCTCACTGGGGGATTCTAGGCAGGGGCTCTACCCCCGAGCCACACCCCCAGCCCCTCACTGGGGGATTCTAGGCAGGGGCTCTACCCCCGAGCCACACCCCCAGCCCCTCACTGGGGGATTCTAGGCAGGGGCTCTACCCCCGAGCCACACCCCCAGCCCCTCACTGGGGGATTCTAGGCAGGGGCTCTACCCCCGAGCCACACCCCCAGCCCCTCACTGGGGGATTCTAGGCAGGGGCTCTACCCCCGAGCCACACCCCCAGCCCCTCACTGGGGGATTCTAGGCAGGGGCTCTACCCCCGAGCCACACCCCCAGCCCCTCACTGGGGGATTCTAGGCAGGGGCTCTACCCCCGAGCCACACCCCCAGCCCCTCACTGGGGGATTCTAGGCAGGGGCTCTACCCCCGAGCCACACCCCCAGCCCCTCACTGGGGGATTCTAGGCAGGGGCTCTACCCCCGAGCCACACCCCCAGCCCCTCACTGGGGGATTCTAGGCAGGGGCTCTACCCCCGAGCCACACCCCCAGCCCCTCACTGGGGGATTCTAGGCAGGGGCTCTACCCCCGAGCCACACCCCCAGCCCCTCACTGGGGGATTCTAGGCAGGGGCTCTACCCCCGAGCCACACCCCCAGCCCCTCACTGGGGGATTCTAGGCAGGGGCTCTACCCCCGAGCCACACCCCCAGCCCCTCACTGGGGGATTCTAGGCAGGGGCTCTACCCCCGAGCCACACCCCCAGCCCCTCACTGGGGGATTCTAGGCAGGGGCTCTACCCCCGAGCCACACCCCCAGCCCCTCACTGGGGGATTCTAGGCAGGGGCTCTACCCCCGAGCCACACCCCCAGCCCCTCACTGGGGGATTCTAGGCAGGGGCTCTACCACTGAGCCACACCCCCAGCCCCTCACTGGGGGATTCTGGGCAGGGACTCTACCACTGAGCCACGCCCCCAGTTCCTTGCTGGGAGATTCTTAAGTAATTGCTCTACCACTGAGCCAGGCTGCAACCTCTCACTGATTCTAGGAAAGTGCCATACTGCTGAGCCAAGAAGCTGAACCACACCTTTAGGCTTCCCTCCCATTTGATTCATCAGTAATCCCTGCTAATTCTTCCTCTTAAAATGTTTTAGTTTTTTTTTTTTTTTTTTTTTTCCCCAGGCTGACCTAGAACTTGCTATCTAGTTGACGAAGCCTTAAACTTTCTGCGTTTACCACGTGTTGGGACTCCAGGCTGAATCACCACCACTCCTGACCAGAGAGACCTTTGTAAAGATTCGTGGTGGTTTGGGGGCCAGATACTGAAAGTGGGGTGTTGTTCTGCCCTGTCACAGAGCAAGGGCGGCGTTAGGGTCTTCATGAACCTGGTTTGTGAGGCAGGGAGAGCGGGCTGGGTTAAACTCGTCACTGACATTAATATAAGAACCTGAGCGACCGCTTATGCTGAGCAGGATGTGGGGTTACTGAGTCACACTGCCGTTCGTTCGTTCGTTCGTTCGTTCGTGTAACGATTTTGTCTGTTTCTGTGTTCGGGCGCAGTAGTGGGGTAGACTTGCTTTTGCATATGTCTTCCTTGGTCACAGGTGACTTTGGCCGAGGTCAGTGTTCTGTGAGATCGTTTATGTCCAATACAACCTCATGGTCCCTACATTAACCAGACAACTCCTGACAGTTTTTTTTTCCTCCTCTTCCTCCTCATTCTCCCCCCACCCCTGAAACAGGGTCTCATATCACCCAGACTGCCCTCAAAGTTCCTATGTAACTGAGGGCGAATTCAGCTTCAGACCCTCCTGCCTCCGTCTCCATTGCACTCGCCTTTTGCAACTCTGGGGAGAGAAGCCAGGGTTCCGTGCATGCCAAGCAAGCAAACAAACCTCCTTTTTTCTTCATCTGGACACTGCCCAGCTGCTCCAGTCTCTCTCCTGTACCCTTTGGCGAGCCTGGAGGGGCGTTTGAGACAGGGTGTCTCTAGATAGCCCTGGCGGCTTCTACCTCATGCAATCCTTGTGTCTCAGCTTCCTGAGGCTAGATTTGTAAGCATGAACCATTACACCTAGCCTTCTCTCTCCTTCTCCTTCTCCTTCTCCTCCTCCTTCTCCTCCTCCTCACTCCTTCTTATTCTTACCCTTGATTTCTGTACAGGCTCTCACTGTGATTCTTTCTCATTACATTTATTTATTTATTTATTTATTTATTATTTAGTGCATATGTTGGAGGTGAAGGTAGATGTTGCAGGATATTTCAAATATCCCGCGACAGATACGCGGAGGTCAGAAGACAATGCCTCTCTTTCCACCCCGTGGGTTCCAGGGATCCAACTCAGGCTGACAGGCTAGAGACAAGGGCCTCTGTGTTCTGAGCCGTCTCACCCACTTTCTCTCTCTAGATACAGTCTCTCTGTGTAGCTAGCTCTGCTCAAACGTGTTATGCTCAGTCCCCTAAGTGCTCAGATTATAGGACTGGGCCACCAGGCCCAGGCTCGGCCTCCTCATGTTTCTGTTGAAGGATGCTGAACACCCATAAGTGCCTACATAGACAGCTCAGCAGATCTGTACACTCCCGTCACACGCAAGGCCACCCTCCCTAGATGGAGATGGAAGAGGTATCTTCCAGGACAAGACTCTAAGAGGGAATGCCTGTTCATTTTTCTCTCACTATGGGTTAGTTCCGTCTGTCTCAGAGCTCCAAATGGACAATGTCACACTGTGTGTTGTCTTGCTTATGGCTTCTTTGAGTCACACAGTTTTAAATATCCATCTCTGTAGCTGTGTGTACCATCTGTTGAAACTTCCCATTGCTGGGCAATTGAATGAAGGGACCACTCTTGGTTTTTACATTTGTTTTTATCCTTTTTTGGAAGGGAGGGATGATATTGGGGATGCGACCCAAGGCTTCATACATGCTAGGTGAGTGCTCCACCATGAAGCACTATCTTACCCCCTTACTGGGGGATTCTAGGCAGGGGCTCTACCACTGAGCCACGCCCCAGCCCCTCACTGGGGGATTCTAGGCAGGGGCTCTACCACTGAGCCACACCCCAAGCCCCTCACTGGGGGATTCTAGGCAGGGGCTCTACAACTAAGCCACACTCCCAGCCCCCCACTGAGGGATTCTAGGCAAGGACTCTACCACTGAGCCACACCGGGGGATTCTAGGCAAGTTTTCTACTGCTGACCCCTAGGCCACTATTCTAGATTTCCAATAACATTTTTGTTGTTTTAAATTTAAAGGACATATTGCGGTGCCCAGCACACATGATAGGTGTTCAAGAATTCTTTGTCCACTTTTATTTATTTTTGAGACTCACCTATGTATGCAATGCATTTTGATTTTATAGACCCTCTCAGTCATTTCTTGATAGATATTTGGTGTTATCTCCCAGCCCAACCATATTGAGAGTCATATTCACTTCTAAATCCCAACTCCTTTTCAGTTCTCTACCCTTACTCCTCCAAAGTCTTAATCTCTTAGCCGAGATGTTTATGTTTTGATTCTTTGAGATAGGATCTCACTCTGTAGTCCAGCCAGGCCTGGAACTCACTATGCTTCAGACTTCTGGCAATCCTCCTGCCTCAGCTCTCTAAGGGCTCTGATGACCGGCGGAGTGTCAATAAATGACTTGTAAATAACAGTTTTCCCAATTGTTTAACTAATGCCTGTCTCTGCTATCCGAGTAGGAGCTCTGTGAAGACACACAGGGGTTCTGCCTCAGTGTCCCCAATCAGCAGGCCAAGGCAACCCGAGCACACCTTGAATGCCCCTGTCTCTCTCTGAACCCTGGTACTCCCTTTGCCTCCAAACCCACACATCCTTTATCCAGGGGACTGTCAGGGAACCTCTACACCCTCTTGCCCTTTCTCTCCTTGGCAAGGGCACAGGGCAGGGGCCCGCTCTCTCCCTGTGGCTGACGCACCTAAAGACGGGCCCGCCCCACAGCGGACGCTGAGTTGGCCTGGTTGGGCAAGGCCAGGGTTGCCCCGGGGTAGGTTACTCATCTGAGGCTCAGGTAAGAGGGCCCGGGCTGGAAGGCGGCACACCCAGGGGGGACGCGGAGAGAGCAGGACGCAGCCATGGATGCTGCCAAGAGAGGAGATGCACAGACAGTGGTCTGGACCACCGGCTGGCTGGCGCCCCCCCCTGCATCTACTGCTCTGTGAAGGTCAGTGTGGCGCCAGCAGGGCAGAGTGGGGGGCTCCTGAGGAAGAAAATCCCCCAGCCCTTCACAGGAAGTCCTTTAAGGAAAGTTGATGCCAGTCAAAGGCAGGCTGTGAGTTCTATCCTGGGCAGAGAGGGGCTGTCGGGAAGGTTCTCCCACACTGAGCAGGCAACTGTGAGAGAGGTACCCCCCCATTCCCGAGACAGGGGCTCCACGTCCGGGGTCTCCTCCCCTGAGAATAAATAGATGGGAGAGGAAAGCTCCCAATGCTGGCCCAGGGGGGCGGGAAGGAAGAGGGTCCTGCGTGTCCCCTGCCCTGTGACTTGTGGGAAGGCTTCTCCTGCTGCTCTGGCTGCTCGGTAGGATCGTCTCACCCGGGGACAGAGGCCACCTGGAAAGACTGTCTCCGGTGTTGGGATCAGTTTTTAACAAAGAGCACTCGGTTCTATCCGGCCCACACCCTCAGGAGCGCAGGCCCTGGAGTGTTACAGCTGCGTTCAGAAGGCGGATGACGGATGCTCTCCGCACAAGATGAAGACGGTCAAGTGTGGTCCAGGAGCGGAC